GCAAAACAGTTGTGTTTTTTTGTCTAGATGTATACATAATGGAGAGTACACCATCAGTTTCTTTGCTGTTTCCATTACTGAACTAAAAAGTATTGTTCAATAGTAAATACTTCTAGTAACTATTAGTGTATTAATGATAAGTAACAGTAAAATTTTAAAAATTAACCATTTACTAACTAGTATGATACAGATAAAATAGTGAGGAGATGAAGTAGAGAAATACAAAGTCCAAAAATGTGAAAGGAGGTAGAACGATGAAGATGGCATTTTACGTCAAGGAGATGTGGGTTATATAACAAAAAGAATTGTTAATGCAACTTGTTAAATCATACCTAGAGAAAAATGTCAAAAAGTCAAAAGTACTTTTCTACATGGGAAATTAAAAATTTTAACTTAAAACAGATAAATGATTGATTTAAAAAATTTTTTAGGAAAGGTAATAATGCTAAATAGGAAATAAGTAAAACTCACTAGAAAAATTGGCATACTATAAGGAAACAAGAAATTTCCTTGAACTCATAAAAAGGAAATTATTCTCATTAAGATTATAAAACTCTAATACAGATCTTTTTAGGCCAAGATTAGAAAGTTATTAACTTCATCAGGATGTTGGGAGTCAGATAGTCTTACGCATTCCTGGTACCACAAAGAACACTCTGAAACAATCAACCTGTGCTGCATGGGTGGTGGAATTTGGAGCAACAAGGAAGGGCAAAGCATAATGTTCTCTTTTTCCAAGTTAAAATAACTTGGCCAGAATCCATTCAGCTTTCCCAAAGGATTGGGTTTCTAACATTAGGAGTAGAGAAAGATTTGTTCATTTTCTCATTAATCTCCTTTATGTGTTTATGGGGGGCATACAGAGTATGCAAGTACTAAAACAGTGACAATTAATATAGATTTATCTTGAGTTATTCTGAGGATATGTTCAAGTCAAATATGGCCTTGTATCTCCATGTCTTTCTTTTCAGGACTCTTCCAAGAACCCAAAAGAGAAAGCTTCATCTCTTGCCAATTTCAAAGTCATGTCTCAGGTAACTTAATATTTCCTTTCTTTTATTAAATAATTATCCTCTCTTCCCCCAGTTACATGAACATTTACTTCCTTATCCTTAAAGATCTTGGATATTAGGATTTGTTTGCATAGAATTGGTTTCCAGTTATGATCATCTTGTTACATTTTTGTTTTATACTGTTAAATTGGACCCAACCCATACCTGACCCTCCAGTGAGTTTTTAGAGGCTATAAATTGCACCAGTGGAGATTGTCTCTCTTTCTCTCACAAAACTGCTGCTGGATTTGAACCTCATGTCTTTGAGTTGCCAGTGCAGTTTCTTAGCACTAAGCTAGATGATTGATTCAGTGACTGGGGTAATTGGGATGGGTGTGTCAGAGGCAGTGTGATTGGCACAGGATAGAGCAGGGTTTAGGGCTGTTGTACATAGGGTCGTTATGGGCCACAAATGACTCGACGGCACATAACAACAACAGCAACTAGAGTTAGGGTGAGGCAAACATGCAGGCTAGGCAAAATTTAAGGAAGCATTCATTCAAAGTTGTTACTTTAAATTTTATCACTTTGGTGCCTTTTCTGCTCAGAACAGAGTACTGATCTCTGTTCACAAATTTGAACTTCCAGCTGCAGTATTAATATTATATGATTATGACATTCATTATCTCCTTTCTCTGTCTTCTCCGGAAGTGTTGCAAAGGAAATTCATTATCTAGATTTAAGTGAAGAAATCCACTTTGTCTAGACACTGATATGAAATCTAAGTTGTGAGTAGTCCTGAAGTTCAGAAGGAAAACCACCATCTGATCTTTGCAATAACAGGTTTTATGATAACAGGATAAAAAAAATAGGATTGTTAAGGTAACAGCATTAGTTTGTGAAATTGTTTTGTGAAATTTCCACGGTAGAGATTTTATTGCAAGCATGAATAGAAAATACATTTTTTAATTTATTCTGTCTTATCTCTCTTTTTATTTCACTTATACCTGTTAGCCATTCATGCAACAGGTCAGCCACTGAAAATCTTACCAATATTCCTATATTGTTATAGACTTAGGTTTATTCTTATCTTTTTTATTTCTTATAATTATTTTATATACTTAAGGAGAAATAAATGTTAATACTTGGTTTGCTCTATTCACCTAGAAATAGAACTTTTGAAATATTTAGTTCTTAACATAAAAGTGGTACTTTGTTTTTGTATCTTTCCTTCAGAAAATTAATCTACCAGCCAAATTGGTATCTTTTAGATGCTGTATTGGTTCTGCTCCCCGTTTTTCTCCATATACAGTAAGATTCACTCCCAAGACCTCACTATCATGTATCTAATGAGCCTCAAATACCTCTCTCCATCTGTACATCTGTGTAGAGTGTCAGAACCATATAGCCAACATCCAACAATTACCAATAACTTCTTCTTTTTTTTAAATAATTTCTTTTATGTCCCACAGATATTTCAAGTATTTATCTAAAGTTTTTACTCTCATTACCTCATTTCCTCCACTTTAGTCTACTCCTTCTTCTGTTTCAATTTCTCTTTTCTAGTCATCATGTCCTCCAATTTGCTTGTGTAATAAGAGCTACACATCTCCTTTTTTCCTCTATACAATCAATTTATGACAAATCCTTTAGTTGCTTGTCAAGTAGGAATCAGTACTCCCTTGTCAAGCCCATACATATCACTTTAATCTAGGTGGCATCTCTCACATTGGTTAATTAATTTTTTTCCATCTAATGCATCTCAAATAAAATTTTCTCATATAAAGAATGTGCAGATGCAAAGAGGCCCAGGTACCACAACAGAATGTGTAAGGCATATTAAAAGGGAGAAAAATTTTAATCTTGCTTGGTTTTTGTGGCTCTCCTGAATAAAACAAGCTTAGAAGCAGGACTGGTATCCACTTCCAAAAAAGCTTGCCTCCAGAAACTCTATGACCTTGGAGAAAAGATGAAAGTTTTGTGTTCAAGACTTTCATTCAGAGGGTCGCTATGGGTCGTCTACAACTCTACAGCACTTAACAACATGCTTAAAACTAGTATTTGTTAACAATGTTGATTGTCATTAGTGCTTATTATTAAATATGTTCAAAGTGTGCTTGATAATATTTTCTTAGGGTTGTTCTGCAAGAAATCTAGTATTATTTCATAGTATTCTCACTGCCTATCTCTGTATATCATTTTCTTCTTAGAAATAGCTCAAAGACTATTTTCTAACATGATGAGCTTTTTCATCATGTACTAATTTTCCTCTCCCTTTAAATTTTTAAAAACTAATATATGCTGTGTTCCTGTAAACAAATTAGTTGTAAATACAAAAAATTATGTCTTCAAACTAAGACTATATTATTTGTTCTGCTTTTTGAGCTTTACCTTATACATACTTCTGTCATTGGATATGTAACATTTGTTGAATGTTGTTACATATAAACCTCTTACTTTCTAAGTTCTCATGTATGGGATCTGCATTTGATTCATTTTTAGTCTACCAAGCAGCCAGCTTTCCTCAATGAAGCTAAGAACATATAATTTGTTTTGCTTTGTGATGCTTTAAGTTATACATAACTCTATTGTCAGATCTGTAACATTTGTTGAATGTTGTTAGATCTGCATTTGAGTCTTTTTTTTTTTCGTCTACCAGGCAGCCAGTGAGTCATGGTACATAGTATAATCTTGTTACATATTTTTAGCATGTTGTTGTTGTTATGTGCTGTCAAGTCGTTTGCGACTCATAGCGACCCTATGTACAACAGCCCTAAACCCTGCTCTATCCTGTGCCAATCTCATTGCCTCCGACACACCCATCCCGATTACCCCAGTCACTGAATCAATCCACCTCATGGAGGGTCTTCCCCTCCTGCGCTGTCCCTCCACTCTGCCCAGCATGATGTCACTCTCCAAGGACCTGTCCCTCCTTGCAACATGTCCAAAGTATGTTAGACAGAGCCTCAGAATCCTTGCCTCCTTGGCAGTCCATGGTACATTCAATACTCTTCTCCAGCACCACAGCTCAAAGGTGTCAATTCTCCTTCTATCCTCCCTAGTCATTGTCCAACTCTCTGATGCATAACAAGTGATTGCAAAAACCATGGCCTGTATCAGACGCACCTTAGTCTCCAGAGAGACACCGTTGCTCTTGAGTACTTTAGAGAGGTCCTTAACCGCAGACTTTCCCATCGCAATATGTTTTTTGATTTCCTGGCTACTGGTGCCAAGAGTGTTGACCGTGGAGCCGAGCAAACTAAAGCTGTGTACAATCTCAATCTCTTCACCATCCATCCTGATGCTACCGATTGGTCCAGTGGTGAGAATTTTTGTCTTCTTGACATTGAGCCTCAGTCCATATTGAAGGCTGCAGTCCTTGACCCTCTGCAGTAAGTGCATGAGGTCCTCCTCAGTTTCAGCGAGCAGGGTTGTGTCATCTGCATAATGAAGATTGTTGATAGATCGCCCACCAGTCCTAACGCCACGCTTCTCCTCATAGAGCCCAGCCTCTCGGATAATCTGCTCTGCATACAGGTTGAAAAGGTATAGAGACACGACACATCCCTGGCGTACACCCTTCCCAATTTTGAACCATGCAGTGTTGCCCTGCTTTGTTCTTACAACTGCCTCTTGGTCCAAGTATAGGTTTCGCATTAGCACAATTAAATGTTCTGGGATTCCCATTCTTCAGCATGAGGTAATAATTAATACAGCAAAATGCATTTTCAGAGTGCTTTTTCTGTATTAAGGAAACTAGTTTTGACTCATGCATATGGCTGGAAACGACCATATCCATATCCATATTGTATCCCATTACTGTTGAGTTTTCCAAGGCTGTAATTTTTACACAAGCAGTTTGCTACATCTTTCTTCCAAGAGTGCTTGTTTGGTAGGTTCAGTGGGCAGCTGCTTAGAGCGAATTGTTTTAACCACTGTGCCAATAGGACTTATAGTCAGAACTAGGTTATCACTAGCAAGTTTTTACCCAGTTCCTACCACTTCAAGATGAACTAGAGTATACCCTTACAGGGATCCGTGACATTCAAAGATGTGACTGTGAACTTCACCCAGGAGGAATGGCAACAACTGGACTCTACTCAGAAGTCCCTCTACAGGGATGTGATGTTGGAAAACTATTGTCATCTCATTTCTGTGGGTAAGAAAAACTTTATAATCTTTTTATGTTATGCATCTTTTCCAAGAATTCTTGAAACATATGGAATTTTAAATTTCAGGGATCAGAGGTGACGAATCCCTCTCGTTAGCAGAAAGTATGATTATGTCCTCACTTGCTCAGTGCAAAGTATTAACTTTGGTAAGATGTAAATGTATACCTCATTTGCCCCTCTGAAACTGTTTCTTTTTCTTCCTTCAGTAGCTCTGAAGTCCAAACAATTTAGACTGAGTTTCATTTTCTTTATCAGGGCTTCACATGACTAAACCTGACATGATCTGTAAGTTGGAACAAGGTGAAGAGCTATGGACAACAAAGATAATTTATCCGAATCAAACCTACCTAGGTGAGGCTGACTAGATACAAACAATCTAGTAGATATTAAGTCTCCGGTAATTGGTAATTGATATCTTTAAATGTGTTTAGTCTCCCCTCACCTCTTTTTTTATTATTGTGAAAATACATGTAATAAAATATTTTCCAATTCATTGTTTTCAAGTGTACAGTTTAGTAATATCAGTTATACTGATCATGTTGTCCAACCATCACCAATAATCATTACCAGATTTTCTGTCACCATAAGTAGAAACTTATTGTTTCATAAACATTGGCTCCTCTTATCTCCCTTATTCCTCTTTCTGGTACCAATAATTTTGGTTTCTATTCATCTGTTAATCCTAGATATTTTAGGAGTGAGGTTATGTTATTCAGTGTAATGTTTTCAAGGTTCATCCATTTGTAGCATGTTTAGAACTTCTCTTTTGGCTCAGTTTTTCTTCACTATATGTGTATGTATCACATTTTTTTTGTGCATTTATCTGTTGATGAACTTTAATGTGTTTCCACCTTTTAACTATTAAGATTAGTGCTACAGTGACCATTGGTAAACGTATTATCTATGTTGCTGCTTTTAAGACTCATGGATATGTGGTCATGCCATGTACATACCTTGGGGTGGCATTATGTGGCTCTATTTTCCTGGAGAGGGTAAAGCCAGGCTACTCCTAGGAGGCAAGGATTCTGAAGCTTCGTCTGATATACTTTGGACATGTTACAAGAAGGAACCAGTCCTTGTAGAGGGACGTCATGCTTGGGAGGTTGGAGGGACAGTGCAGAAGAGGAAGACCCTTGATGGGATGAATTGATTCAGTGACTGGGTAATGGGGGTAGGTGTGTCAGAGATGGTGAGATTGGCACAGGATAGGGCAGAGTTTAGGGCTCTGTTATTATATATAATATGCCCATCATTAATACTGCATATTTTTTCATTAAAAGAGCGAATTTTACTTCCTCTATTAAATGATCCTAGATCTTGTCTGTCCTTCACCTCCCTAAATTCTCATTCTACTATTTGTATTATATACAAACATATGTTGTTATTGTTGTTAAGTGCTGTTGATTTGCAGGCAACTCATAACGACCCTATGAAGCAGAGTCCTCAATGCTTGGGTGTCTTTCATCCTCTGTCCAGTTTCATAGGGTTTCTGGAGGCAAGCTATTATGGAAGTGGATGCCACTTCTGCTTCCAAGCTTGTTTTAATCGGGGAGCTCCACCTTACTCTCTGTCTGCATTGGGTAATGCATTTGACCCATCAGTGTCATAGTGTTCAGCCTCACAGCAACCACAAGCTACCACTGTACAGCAACTTGTACACCAGGGCTATACAACCTAGAGGAATGTCTGAACAAAAACAATGAAAGACAGGCCCAAGGGCTGCGGATTAAAAGTCACCTACCTTTGGCTTGGTAGCATCGCTTTCTGTCCACTGGGCTAGCTGATTCCTCTCTCTATGTTGATGTTATTGTTGTTAAGTGCCGTCGAGTTGCAGGCGACTCATATAGCGACCCTATGAAGGAGAGTCGTCAACACTTGGGTGTCTTTCTGTACAAACATATACTCAAATATAATCTAGTAATTTCATATTTGATACAGCATCATTGTTTTATCTGAGAGTTCTTTCTCTACCAACATAATTCCCCCCAGATAAGGTTCTATTTTACATGCAGAGTTTTAGACCATTCAATCATGGTCATCCAAACTGACCTGAATTTGTAAACTGGTGAATTGGAATGGGAAAAGTTACTGGTTGACATCCTGCTAGAAACTTAATCTTCCTCTTAGAAAACAAAAGCAGCATTGCCACTGCATCACAACCAAATCTCTTGATTGCCAGAGTGATAAACAAGGGTGCCCAATTCAAAGATGGTGGTCACCTGTGTGTCACTTTGTGAGTCATTCTTCACAGTCCTAGCAATAATCCAGCCTCTTCCATCCAGCTTCTTCAAAGGTACACTATTGCTCTTCTAAGCCTTCCATTCCAGGACTTTGACTAGTAATCTTTCCTGTTCTTGTTATCATTCTGATTCATCAAAATTGAAAAAAAAATCTGAATGTGTTCTTATTTCATGTGTTCTTATAACTGAACCAGTTTGTAGACTTGTTACTTTTTTCATACTGTAGCCTGTAAGAGAGGCTACTATTAAACAGAGGTATTTAATAACTACCTCATTGTTTGAGATATCATGCAAGAAAGACATCTTTCTCATCCATTCAGAAATCATTTTTTTAAAAAATAAATTATTTATTCCTTAATTCTCATTAGTTATATGTGCTGAGATTGTCTCCTTATCTCAGATAACAAAAAAATGCATTAATCTACAATCAGAACATAGTAAAATATTGAATTCTGAGGTATAAAGGGTTTTTCCTTTTTTTCAAATTTTTTTTTATTATTAATTTCAATGAAAATTTATAGAGACTGGTTTTCCATTCATTCATTGATGCACTTTTCTCCCCTCCCAACCCTCCCCCCTAATACAGTACCTTCTTGGAAAAGTAAAATAAAAATTCTTTCATTGTTTTGTAATCCCTCCCCCAGGTCCACTCCACCATGCAGCCTTCACTCTGGAGTCCTGTCATGACAAAAATACCTAATCACATAACCCTTTTAAACAGTTTTCTCGCTTATCTGTTTCAAAGCAGTATACATTATTGAACCCATCTTTCTCAGTCTCCCCCCAACCCTGATGTCAGTCCTGTTTTACAACAGTGGCAATGTGCAGTATTTGTCCTTTTGTGACTGAGATACTTCACTCAGTATAATGTCCTCCAGGATCATCCATTTTTAATAACATTGCATGAGTTGCTTGTTTTTCAGTGCAGCGTAGTATTCCATTGTGTGACAATACCACAGCTTCTCTATCCATTCATTTGTTGAAGGGTCTTAGGTTGTTTCCAACTCCTTGCTATTGTGAACAAAGCAGCAATAAACATGGGTGTACATGGTTTTTCCTTTTAAGAAAATTCTTTCTCCACACCCCACTCCATGTACAAAAACCAACTCAAGGTGGATCATGGATCTAGGACTAAAGCCAAGGACTATAAACTTCATTACAGAAAAGCTTGGAAGAACTCTAGTAGTCCTAATCCACAACATAAACAGTCTTCCAAGTATCCTGAAAAATCTAAAACCAAGAGAAGATAAAATAGATGAATGGGACTTTCTAAGAATCAAATCCCTATGCACATCCAAAAACTTCTCCAACAGGGTAAAAAGGGAAGCCACAGACTGGGAAAAAGTATTTG